GCCCAAATAAATGAAGTCTGTTACTGCTTCCATTTCTACCCCTTCTATTTGCCAGGACCCACAAAATTGCCGCTGCCTATTTCTAAAGTAGCTGCCAGAAGTGCAAATAGTGAAGTTGTTCTTTACAATTCCTGTAGCCCTTTGGGATGTTCTTTACCACCCCAGCATATCTTTGTCATCTTTATGGGGAGTTGGGTACACTTTTGACCACACACTGGGCTGCAGCTACATATTATGCTTATTTCCTAAGAAAGTACTGGTCGTTCTGAAGGCTGGTACTTTGCTTTGTAGCTTTCCAGCTTCTCATTTAGTTTTTTTTTTAATTAACAAACATCTTTTAATTAACAAACATTTAAAAATGAGTTAAAACATTTTAATTAATTAACAAACAAAAATTAATTAACAAACAAACCTGGCTGGAACCAAGGAGGTACCTGAAGGAACTCTAGTGATTCTAGGTACCACATTATTTACCCTTGTTTTTTGGCTTTAAGGACTCTGGCTACTTCATATGATTGCTATTTAAGCAATTCAGTAGCTTTCATTTGAAAGAAAGGAGTCCATCCATCTAGATGAAGGACCGAGAGAGTTGCTTGAGTGAACCTTACTTCTTGTGAGCATCCAGAAGCATCTTTATCTTCCAATGAATCATTATCATTCCCATCACCATTTTCATATTGTATCCAAAGTTTCTTCTGAAAGGTATGCTGCTTTCCAAAGCAGTTTGATCATAGCTTGGAAAACATGGGTGTCACTGTCGAAGAATTGCATATATGTTCATATTCAACACTAGGTGTATTTAACCAAACTTTTGACCCAGACCACGAGCAGTTCAGCTTTCAGTACTGTGACTATAAACATGAGTGCCAAATGATGTTGATTGCTTGGGGAGATGTTGCGCTTTGTATAATTTTGTCTCATGTTCCTCTCTTTCTGCCCAACTCCCCATAGTACAAACTGTATATTACCCTTATTTGAATATTTGCTGCAAACATTGGTCCTTTATATACTTGCCATATGGCAAAAACGGATTCTAACTTACAGTGCATTTTCTTTAATGGCAAAACAATACAATGAAGAATTTTGTTCCAAGGAGCAGCTACAATTCTTGTCAAAATTACAATTTGGTGCCAAGATGTAATGCGTTTCTAGTGTGAGTTATCTTTATGGAAGTGATGATTATCATGGTTTACTTGAATGTTTAAGGTTCCTTACCTTTTTTTTTTTTGCTATAAAATATTTGTATAAGAGCATTGCTTTTTTTGATCAATGGTTCTATTTTCTTGGAAAACTAAATGGATTCTATTACATTTCTGTAGGAACTTGAACGAGTTACATCATTGCAGACAAGCCTTCAGTTAGCTGCTGTTATTTGCACAAATGGAAGACGGTATGGTATATTTTTAAATTAAAGTTAATTGCTTTAGAGAATACGGCAGTAACAATTTTAAGAAGCTTCATAGTTGGTTTATTGTTTTTGTTTTTTCTCCTTTATATTAGTATAACAGAAGGAAAGACATCCTGGGCTATAAGATATTGCTGGTCTATATCTCCACAGCAGTCCAATTCAGCATGCCCAGTATTGAGTATTGGGAACCATGTGAGGGTTGAATGAAAAGTAATGCCTCCAGTTCCATATCGTTAATTTAAATAGGGATAGTTTAATGAATGAAACTGGAAAATAATCCTTGAAGTGATCTCTTTTATTACTGGCATTTACTTCTCTATATAATCATCACCATTTGCTATGCATTTCTGCCATGATGGGCAAGATTCTTAAAGGCATCATGAAAGAACTCCACATTTTGTCTCTTCAGCTAACTCTTGATAGTCCTTTCCACATCTTCATTTGAATCAAACAGATGCCATGAAAGTAGTCCTTCAATCTTGGGAAAAGGCAAAAGTTGCACTGCCAGATCTGGTCTGTATGGTAGATGGGGTAAGACAGTGAGATCCAATTTTGCAATTGCTTCTTAGGTGGCTTGATGTCTAGCATTGTCATGTTGCAGCAACGTTTTCTACTGCTTAATTGCTGTTTTAAAGTTTTGAGTATTGCAGTGTAGCCCTCTGATAGTGGTGCCAGGTTCGAGGAAATCCATGTGAATAACACCATCTGTGTCCCCAAAAACTGTAACCAGGAGTTTTCCTGCCAAACATGGGATTTTACTTTTTTCTCACAGGTTTGTGATGATATTCCATAGACTGAGGCTTTGTTCTAGGTCACACTGATAAGCCCATATTTCACTGGCTGGCTGGCTGTGAAGAAATTCCTCAACTTCATTCTTGTAGCGTGACAACAATTGCTGGCAAATTTCAGCTCTTGAAACTTTCATCTCTGCCATCAGCATGCAAGGAATTCATCTTGCAGAACCTTGCAGTATTGAAGGATATCAAATAAATTTCCTTTTGATTGATTCACCGATTGTCCTTAAGCAGTTCATCAACTTTTGTCATGTAAAACTAGTTGGTTGCTGTCAGAGATCATGCACTTCATTCTTGATCACACAAATCAGCTCTTTCCAGTTTACCATCTTTGTATTTTTTGGACCAGAAACACATCCTACTCATGTCAACACAATCAACACCATTAACACCTTGCATTTGGTGATGACTTTTAATTGGAGAGATCCCTTTGGCAGTCAAAAAATCAACCACTGCGCATTGCTTAAACTGCCCTGGCAAGTATTCACTGTAAGCTTCCATTTCATGAACAATAGTAACATAGCCTTTTCTCACAGAAACTTTTTACCAACTAAAGTGAAAGTATGGATGATAAAAAAACAGCCAGAGCTTCTACTGCATCGGTACTGTCATTTGTTGGTGGCTTACAACATTGGAGATATTAGTTTTCATTCAACCTTCATAATTAAAAAATAACTTCTCCAACCTTGCATATATAATTTTGTTCTTTGCTAGACTTTATTTGCACAGCATGCAAAGCCATCATGTTGATGGGCCTAGTGTGATATCTGAGTGTAGACTGTAGGTAGTTAAGAAGAAAGTATTGCTTGTCAAATGTATGGTCATTATTGTATTGAATCTTTTTTTCCCCTAACTTTTGGATTTTATTTGACTGAACTCTGTATTAACCTCTGATTTGAAGATTTGAAGGCTAGTGCAGCATGACTTATATTTTTCGTAAGAGCTGTGATTTCATTCAAACAAGAATGTTTTCTACAGGCATCTGAATACAGCTAAGGAGGGCTTCACTCAAGCCAGCTTGGGTCTTCTTGCAAATCAACGGAAACGCCAGTTGCTGATGGGACTGCTAAAATCTCTGAGAACAATAAAAACCCTGGTATGAGCAGAACATATAATAGTCAAAATAATATCTTAATCTTAGCACCACATGTAGTAACCCCTTTCTCCTTTAATTTCTAGCAACAGACTGATGTGCGTTTAAGTGAAATGTTGGAGGTAAGCAAATGCAAGCATAGTATGTAACTGAGGTTGAAATAATGTTTATTCATCCTCCTATTCATTCCAAAGATATTAGAGTAGCTTCCTTGGCACTGCCCAAATATACTGGGACTGCAGTTCCCAGAATTCACAGCCAGTAAGGCCATTGCCTATACAAGCTGCTGAAAACTTGTGTGGCTCCTTTTACAAGGGAAGCAAAGTCTGAGTTACTCCATGTCTTGACTGCTGTGGGAAGATGTTTGCTCTAAGCTGAAGCAGGCCAGGACAAGCATAAAAATCTCCAAGCTTGGGATGCATTTGAAATTTTGAAAGTGTGTCCTGGGCATTTTTTCAAAAAGGTTTTCTGCACGGATCACCATTAGCTCTGGCTGAGTATTTCAGGGGATGTGCTGCCTAACTCCTTTAGTGTGGCTCATCCCAAGCTTCCGTGAGCAATGCTGGAGAACGAGGGCATGCTCTTCTAAGAAGAGGCTTTTGCGTAGAGACAGTATCTTGCAATAGCCTATTCTGGTTGTAGCAAGTAGCAGGGAGAGGTTTGGGCAAAGTTCTTTGTCAGAGCAAATTATGATGCATTTTTGTTTTGATGAAAAAATCACATTGCATCCACGGAGCCATTCTCTTCATCGACAGGAATCTATATTATCCTGCACTGGCCTAAGGACTGCAGTTCCATGCAGAACAGCCGGTCATGTTTCATGATTTGCACTGCTGAAAGTTTGAAATAATAACAGCCATACCCTCCTCTACACCCGTTGCTTTTTTTTTTTATTATTTTAAATACATGTTTGATTTCTTACAGGAGGAAGATTATCCAGGGGCTATACAACTATGCCTGGAATGCCAGAAGGCAGCTAGCACTTTCAAACACTACAGTTGCATAAGGTAACACCACAGGCATTTTTTTAAAGCTGACTCTATCTTTGAATTAAATAGGGTGAACAAAGAGAAACAGCAACATTTCAGAGAACTGCTAACTACTTTGAATTTCCTTGGCTTTGGCTTTAGAGATTAATTTTCTAGTTAGAATAAAGAGATTGATATAGGTTTATGTTTAACGCTTTTAAATTGCACTTTAATAAAGTTTCCGAGATGCAAGTCGTGGCTGCTAACCATGACAGTGCACCTGAGTCTTAAGGGGCTTAGTTGTTATGCAACATAGTACTTCTGTTCCAACATTAACTGATTGTCTTGTACTGAAGGCTGCAAAGTCCCCGTTGCATAAAAACTATATTTGCAATGCTAAGCGTACATCTGGAGGCTGGGGCATAGTTTGGGATTAATATGCATAGAGTTGTGCTGTGTGGTAAAAGTACTTAGGCCTGCTTTGCACATGATGCTAGGCCAAAATGTGATTTGTTTGTTTTTGGCATGACATATTAGGTAAACCCAGTCCCAGGCTTGTTTGCTTGCTTATTTATGAAGTTTATATGGCCACCCAACACAAACACTGTGATTCTGAGTAGCATACAATAAACCAAGGAACAGATTAAAAAAACCCAAGGTAAACAATTCCATTTAAAATCAGTAAATAATCATTGATAGGCAATCAAGGACTCACATTTCCTACACACCTTCAGTTAGGAACTCTCATCGTCCTAGCTCCAGTCCCAAGGAAAGAGCCAATTTTTTTAGGGTGTTTCAAAAGGCCAAGAGGGTTGAAACCAGTTATCTTTCAGGGAAGAGATGATTCCAGTGGGCAGGGGCTGCTTCGGAAAGGGTATGCTTCCTAGGTTCCATCAGATGGTATTTTAAGGAAGGAGCGTGAAGCAGGCCCATCCTATCAACCCTATTAGAGTGTTTGAGATGGGCAGATAGCATTTGACAAAGGCGGGCCTGCAAATAACGTGGTCCTGTGCCATGTAGGGTTTTATAGATGATAACCAACACCTTGAATTGCACCTGGAAGCCTATCAGGAGTCAGTGTAACTTATGTAGTGGTGTTACTTGGGCATACCAGGGTATGCCCATAACTACCTGCACCACTGCATTCTGGAACAACTGTAGCTTCTGGATGGTCTTCAAGGGTAGCCTCATATATAGCACATTGCAGTGCAGAGTGACAGTGATCAGGGTTCCCAGTCCAGGAATGGGCACAATTGGCACACAAACTGAAGTTGTGCAAAGGTCTTCTGGGCCACCACCACCCCCAACTGCACATTGGGTATAAGGGAGAAAGTGCGACCCCCATCCAGACACAAAACCTACAGCCACTCAGTCTTGGTAGGATTGAACTGAAGTCTGTTCTTCCCCAGCCAGATCCTCACAGCCTCCAAACATTGTGTCAGACCCTTGACAGTTTCATTGATCAGCCAGGGATGGAGGTATACAACTGAATATCCTCAGTACTGTGAGATATATTGTAATCTGGATGCTATGAGAGATTTTGGAATTTTAATATTGCAAATAGACAAGATGTGCAAAAAGGCATGTGCTAACATTGGTCTAAGATTTTGATGATTGTGCATAAAGAATTAGATACAACCCTGACGTAAAAGACCCCTTCCATAGGCCTTATTTCACCCATCTGTATTTTGTGTTTTTTCTTTACTAAGGATGCTTGTGAATTTTGCTAGGTTTGTATTGTTAAACCAATTTTATTTCTTCTTTCTCTACTAAATCTTTCAATTTTGCACTTCCTCGGATCTTGTGATAAAGTTGCCATCTCAAAAAATTTGTAAACTGTATGTAAAAAAAGTTAGAGTCCTAGAAATGTGTATTTTAGAAGGAATGTTGTAATATTCTCCAGAAAAAAATAATATTAAGAATAAGAAATGTCCTGAATTTTTAAAGAATATATATTGATGTAGAAATGGATTTATGAATGAATATATATAAAACTGTCATGGATCTGTCCATCCATATGTTTAACCACCTTTTTGTTTTTGTCTTGAAAAAAGAAAGGCACTTTATATGAATATATAGGCATTTTAATTATTCATCTCCAAGCATTTTTAATGCATTGTAATTCCCAAAGAAATACTTACATATACAGTTCGTTTTCTTTAGCATATTACATTTCTATCTTAACTTTATTACTTTTCCTCAGTGGAATGGTGCTGCTTCCTTTTCATTATTTTCCAGCAAATAGAGACTAAAATAAACTGGAGCCTTAATATGCCTTAATTGTTTGAATAAATGAATGCCACAAGTGAATGATTTTGGCATATTTAATTACATCGTTGAAACGCCAAATAATTATTCTGAGAACTATTGTATCTTATTTACTGCATGTTAGGGATTTTTGTTATGAACCATATATTTCTATCAGTTAACGTTGGTATGAATAAAATGGATTTGTGGCACAGTTCTTCCCTCAAATACATGATGTTATTTTTTAAAAAACTCTGTCCCAAACACAGTCAGCTCTAGCTGGATGTATAAGCTCAATTTGGGAAAAATAGAGGGCTTGTCATCTGCTTTTCTCTTCTGTTGCTCCTGGTTATTTCCCCCCCCCCCCCCATCGAGGAATGAATTTGAAGGTAGGTATTTGGCATTTGAAAAAGTGTCTTGTCTGAGTGAATGGATACCCCTTTCTATACTTGGATTATGTCCAGTAGCAGAGGCTGAATGTATCTTTTGTGGTTTCTCAGTAGGATCTGTGTGATGGCATGTAAGATCAGGAAGATGATGATGATTCCTACCAGTTGTTAGCAATAACTGTGTTTCTTCCCAGATTTTTTAAAAAAAGCTTTCCTTGTAGTAGCTTTTTTGAAATAGTTAATTGTTTTTTATAAATATGTTTTCATTTTCAATTGTTATCAATTGTTTTATGCTTTGGTATTTTTCTGTTTTATGCACCAGTACATTTTATATAGAGCAATTTTATAGTGGTTCTAGTTTTATCCATCTCTTATTCATTTTATCTTTACTTAGGTTTGATTTGCCTATGTATATATTATATTTTTACTGTATAGCTTTGACTCTACTTATTCTGGCTTTTAACGTCTACAGTGACAGCCTTAAGTATACCATGATTGGTTTTATATATTTGTCCATCCTCATATTATTTACTTTTCATATTGCATTGTTCTGTGACTGTAATAAAGTTTAAGTTCAGTAGGGTACCTCAGCATACACAGAGTTAAGTTGGGGCAATTGTAAGTTTCTTTCTTATGCTTTCTTGTTTTCCTGGACTAAATTCATGTTTTGTTAATTGTCCCAGCATGTCTTCTCCAAGGTCATCTCTGTGCTCCTCTTCATCAAAAAGTTATTTAGCTTTTGATGGACCTCTGTTTAGAAAGAGAAAGAATCCGTTGAATTGAGATTAGCTCCTATGACTCCATGGACACTTCCATGTAGTTTTCTTAGCAGCAATATAGAATTGGTGGGCCCCTTGTCTTTTGTGATTTGTTTTTTCAACTTTCCAGTCTAGTCTACAGCCCTGGGGTTTCTGGTGGTCTCTGATCTAAATAGGTGTAACTCTCCTTAGCTTTTCTGAAATGAGCCAATTTAGGCTAGGTGCTATCACATGCTGTGGTAGACCTTTGCCAATGTCATGAAATCAGAGATTCCTAAATTTTGAAGATTATATGGTTGGCTGATTGCCCACTTCCACCTCCTTATTTGATTTATACAAATTACACTGTTTCCACCTCAAAGGATAAAAATGTTTATCATTCCCTCCAGCCATCATTGGGTGTTTTTAGCACAAAATGTATTGTACATAATATATTTCAGAAGAATGACCTTGAAAAGATCTATGAAACAAACCAATGTATCAAAATATTCATCTTAATTTGAAACATTTTATAACTTCTTGGCTTAATTTTAGACACTCTAATGTTTGACTTCATTCTTTTGCAGTGAATTGAATTCAAAATTGCAGGACACTTTGGAGCAAATTGAGGTGAGAATTCAGTCCTTGCTTTGAACAGAGTTTAGCTGAGTATAAATAGCTTCAACCATTGAATGATAAAAGTACACTTATAAGAGCAATCATGTTGGATCAGACCAAAGTCCTATCTATTCCAACATTCTGTTCCCACAGAAGTTAATCAGATGCTCAAAAGACACTCACGACCAGGATGCAAGGTCAACAGCTCTTTCATACTATTGTTCTTCATACTGACTTTGAACTAAATCTGCAGTATAGACATTTGGATTAATAGCGTTGATCCAGAAATTTGTCTAATTGCAATTTAAAGCCTTCTAGCTTGATGGCCATCACCACATCTTGTAGCAAAGACTTCCACTGTTTCATTATTGGTATGTACTGTCAGCCCAGAATCTAAAGGGGGGACTAGATTCATTGTGGAATCCCTAATTCTGTTATGATGAGGAAAGGGGGAAAAACTCCCTATCCAATTTCTCCACAGTGTAAATAATTTACATGTCTTTATCATAACCCATACTTGCATTTTTAATTAAACACTAAAGCTGTGAGCTCATGCGGAATTCATCATTTCCGTAGATGATTTAGCTGATTTCTGCCTTATTTCAAGCTTTACAATATTCTTTTTCTAGAGTGCATTTACAGTACTCAGTATTCCAAAAGTAAATTCCGCATATCTTTGTTTAAAGGTGTTTTGCTTTATTGTGAACAAATAATGTTTCAGTTTGAATTGTAGGGTTTTTTCGTATTTTCTTTTACTACATATTCAGATTTTCACTTTACAGGAGCAGTTAGATGTTGCACTTTCCAAAATATGCAAGAACTTTGACATCAACCATTATACCAAGGTGCAGCAGGCGTACAGGCTACTTGGAAAAACACAGGTTAGCATTCTCTCATTGAAGCTGCATCCTGATATGCAATAGACTAGCTTGTCTCTTTGTTTGGGACTGTGGTTTTATAGAAAATAAATATCTTATGTATAAATCCAGTCTAATCAACCAGTTACAGATAAACAAGCCTATTGGTAAGGACTATCACTGCACGTGTGTGTGTGTGTGTGTGTGTGTATGGGTGGGTGGGTGGATGAACAGATAGATAGATAGATAGATAGATAGATAGATAGATAGATAGATAGATAGATAGATAGCCTAACAGAAAAAAATAGAGCACAGCTGAAGGAGACTTGAGACTTGGAAATTAGAAACCTCATTAGTGGGTTCATTTATGGCCTGTGTAGGTATTTCTACCACCCAAAATCAGTTTGAAAATATGCGCATACTTGTTTTTGAAAAGAGCTAACTTTGCATTTAATGCTTCCTGGAGAAACAGATTAGAATCATAAATGATTATGGCATAGGCTCAGAATGTCAATGTAAGATGAGCAAAATGTATGTTTGCCTTATTTCAATAGTGTCTTCTTTCATGGTTCATCTCTGTTTTGTCCTATAATTGTACATTCCTGTGGAGGAAAAAAATACAGTTTTGATGGGGAAACATTTGGTTACTAGTTGCTGATGCTACTATTCATGAATGAACAATAGGGAGAGCTTAAGATGTTTTGGATAGGGTAAACCATTCTAAGTATATTGAGGTGGGGCAAAATATGACCCTTATCTCTGATTTTGGGGATGTCATTATTATTTACTTTTGTGAAAGAAACCTAAGAACAGAAAGAGGCAAACTATTGACTTTCAACTCTCATTTCAATCTGAAGAGATACAGATTATCCACCTTGCTGTAATGGATGGGAAAGTTCACTTTGGAGTCCTTGGTGTTCTCTGAGCTTGGTTGTTTGTTTGCAGAAGTTTCATTACCCAACTAGGTAACATCATCAGTGTGAGTGAGTGTGGGGTTTGCTCCCTATAAACAAGGACTCCAAAGTGAACTATATACAATAGCTTGCCCTGCCAGTTTTTGTGGTGGTTTGGTTTTCTCCTTGGTGGTTCTTTGATTAGGGTATTGTTTTCTTCCTGATCGTTAGTCTACTCACACTGATGATGTTACCTAGTTAGTCAGTGAAACATCTGCAAACAAACAACCAAACTCAGAGAGCACCAAGGACTCCACAGTTCAACCCTGAGCTACATATATTCTCTTCTATTGAAAGTTCACTTTACTGGAGCTGCAGGATGTCCAAATAGAATTGGGGAACAAAATTTTTATATGATGCCTCTAAATCCACCATTCTTCTTTATTCAGACAGCAATGGACCAACTGCATATGCACTTTACTCAAGCCATTCACAACACAGTTTTCCAAGTTGTCCTTGGATATGTTGAATTGTGTGCAGGAAACACTGACACCAAATTTCAGAAGCTTCAGTACAAGGATCTTTGCACAGTATGTAGTTCTACAGTGGTTTTGAAACATTTGATGTTTGCATATGCTATTGTGCCTACCTATTCTTTTAAAAAGCAACCTTTTAAAATTAAGCCCACGTTTAATTTTGGATAAAAACATATTTCATAAGACTAGGAAGTATGGTCAGATGGATGGATAAATTGAAAAGCTATGCGGTCAGATTTATTTAGTTTATTTATTTAAAGAATTTGTAAAGCCACCCATCTTAACCTAATGACTCTAGGCAGCTAGCAATACAGAAAACATAAAATAGAGCAAAATAGAATAAAAACAGTGTAAAACAATACAATGTCATGTGACCATGATTCATAGCAAAATTCTCCCATAATAAATCATAAAACATGTACAGTCAGGTCCAGAAATATTGGGACATCGACACAATTCTAACATCTTTGGCTCTATACACCA